CCAATCAGAGTAGAACTACATTTATTGGTCTGTGCCGTGCCCAATCAAATGTCAGCTCATTCATGGATACTTTTAATAAAAGACTTGTCCAATCAGAATAACACTTTCATTTGATGATTTATTTTTTTTACTTCAAATCACAAAAATGTCCGTTTATGTTGTTTTTTGGTTACCATGCCCAATCAGTAAAAACCTTACTTTCTTAAGCGTTCAACTTTACAATTTAAAAAAATATTCACAAAAAAAACTCAAAAATAAAAAACCATAAGTTGTGTGCTGTAAAAATCAGAAAAATTACTGATACAAATAACAAAAAAATAAAATTTAAAAAAGTAGTTTCTGCATTTTTTTATCAGATCAATTAGAATTCTTACTAATAAACAACAAAACAAATTGCTGATTTTTAAGAAAAAAGTCATATGCTTTGGTTTTGATGCATATTGGAGCGAAAAGCCCAATTTTCATAAAGTTTTTAAAGCAAATCTCTGGATACTTTGTTCCAAACCTAATCAAACAAATTTGGAACAATGAAAAATTTTTAATAAATGAATGAAAAAAAAAGAAATAGGTTTTGGAGCTGAACTGGGGGGTGCTTTGCTGACCCCATGTATTATTATGCGGAATAGATTTCATATCACGTATTAAATCAGTTATATTCACAATTTAGATAACGCGCCACGAGATATTTGTAGAAAAAATAGAGATCTCACAAAAACCAAAAAATACCGTTTTTCTTATTATTCTCTTAGCATTACTCAAAGATTCTAATTCCTATCTTAATACAATTTAGGCTCTATACCCAATGTAAATACATAGCGTGGCTGACCTGAAATCTACAATGTAAGTTAGTACATGTGGTCACCCGCGCACCCCCTAGCCGTTTCAGCTCTAACATCTACTGCTGAGGAACGTAAAGCTTTGACACAGATTTTGACAGCTGTAGGTTTTGAGTAGAAGACAACATATGTCTTCAATTTTTTGTCATACGACTTTTTGAATTAACTCGAAATTTCTTAGAACAATTAAAATTCCATCTTTTTTATGTGTAATTCAAAGTCAGAGCTTTGATAAGCAAAATTTTGTTCAAAAGTAAAATTTGTGAGTACACTTCTGAATTACGCCTTCAACTATCCAATTTAAAAATATACTCACGAAAAAACTCAAAATAAAAAGACCACAAGTTGTGTGCTGTGAAAATCAGAAAAATTACTGATATAAATAACAAAAAAATAAGATTTAAAAAAGTAGTTTCTGCATTTTTTATGAGATCAATTGGAATTCTTACTAATAAACAACAAAAAAATTGCTGAGTTTTGAGAAAAAAGTCATATCCTTTGATTTTGATGCATATTGGAGCGAAAAGCCCGATTTTCATAAAGTTTGTAATGCAAATCTCTGGATACTTTGTTCAAAACCTAATCAAACAAATTTGGAACAATGAAAATTTTTTTAAAGAATGAATGCAAAAAAAGTAATAGATTTTGGAGCTGAACTGGGGGGTGCGTTGCTAACCCCATGTATTAACATGCGGAATACATTTCATATCACGTATTAAATCAATTATACTCACAATTTAGATAACGCGCCACGAGATATTTGTAGAAAAAATAGAGATCTCACAAAAACCAAAAAATACCGTTTTTCTTACCATTCTCTTAGCATTACTCAAAGATTCCAATTCCCATCTTAATACAATGTAGGCTCTATACCCAATGTAAATACATAGCGTGGCTGACCTGAATTCTATAAAGTAAGTTAGTACATGGGGTCAGCCGCGCACCCCCTAGCCGTTTCAGCTCTAACATCTACTGCTTAGGAACGTAAAGCTTTCACACAGATTTTGACAGCTGTAGGTTTTGAGTAGAAGACATCAACTGTCTTCAGTTTATTGTCATACGACTTTTTGATTTAACTCGGAATTTTTTAGAACAATTAAAATTCCAACTTTTTCATGTGCAATTCAGAGTCAGAGCTTTGTTAAGCAAAATTTTGTTCAAAGTGAAATTTGTGAGTATACTTCTGAATCAATTTTTCCCTAATTCGATCTTAACCTAGTCAGAGGACTCTAATTTGGACACAATTTTTCTTTTTTCTTGTAGGAATGTCCGAGGACTCTTTTCTGCAAAACATTTTTTTCTTTTCTCTTGTAAAGAAAGTTTTTTTTGTGGTAGAATAATCCAATGTTAAATATTAAATCTGAATGATTTCTGATTTGTTGTCTAATATCCAAAATAAAATGTAGAATTTTCGTCAACTACACCATTAAAGAAAATTTGCGCAGGCAATGACATGACTTCTATAAAAACGATTTACATCATTACCATACAAAGAAAAATGCGTGGGTAGTGATGTCAATTTTGATAAAACATGATGTCATGACCATAAAAGGACAGATGCCAGTCAATCAGAAGACATTCAATTCAAACTTTACAATTCGTGACTCCACAAATAGACAAGTAAATTAGTTATTCATTTTTTTAAAAATCACCTGCGTCTTTTTCGTGAATAAGTCATGTACATAAACGAACATAATAATCTCGAAAACTTGTCTCTCACACTTCTAGGTACTTTACCGAAGTGATATCTAAGACTGTTACTCAACTTTTTCTCTAAGCCTAAAAAGCTTGCAAAACAGAAAAATTCTTTCTGTATGATTGGTCTGAGAACCCTGAATTGCTCGAGTTTCCAGAACTGCTACCGTATGACGCCTTTCTTAGTAAACTCAGAATCAAAAATCCTTTATAAAAAGATTTTCTGAATATGAAAAACTAGGAAATAGTGGAATTGATCATCAATCAGCCCTAAATGTCTTCAAATAACAATAACAATTACTTGCAAAAGATTTGGCACAAAAACGAAATGACTCTGCTCAAAAAATTTTTGTACTTGTATAAAAACTTAAGATAATGAAAACTCATTTAGTTTCACCACAGCAAAAAACTGAAATGCCTAAACTTTGATGTACACTTCCGTATCTAGCTGAAAACCACGAATCAAAAAATTCCAAGTTTTGCTTTGCGAAGTAGAAAAAACTTGCTGGAAAAAGCAGGAAGCCATGGCTTGTGTACTATCCATTGTGTTTGTTCAAAAAACGTAGTTGATGAGGCTTTCATTAGAAACTCATTTAACAATTATATTTCAATTGTTGGAACTGATCAACTGATCCAAATCAGCTTTACCTCTTCTCAATGTGTCAAGATCTGCCAATACGTCTTTAAAAAGGCAGTATAGTTTCAATATGCAGAAATTCAAAGCTGGACATAACAATCTCTTAACTTTGAGAAAACGGTCTTGCCATTTTCTCAGGAGACAAACCCAGAGTGCAACATTGCGTGTTTTTTAACATCTGGCAACCAAAAAAAAACTGATTGTTTTTTGTGGAAGGTTATTGAGATCATCTTGAAATCGCATTCGAAGCAAGGAGATACTACTTTCACTTTTTTGCTGTCAAGAAGCTTGACGATCTTTGACATTTTAAGATAATAAACAAGGTAACAAGAAGAGAGAGAAGTTGGCAAGAAGCGAAAATACTTTAAAGAGGAAGAATACTCAACTGCAGAAATGAGTGGTGTGATAAGTTCAAAAAAAATAAGTCAGAAACCATTTTCCCTACAAAATACTCACTTTTACCAAACTTTTTCTCTCTTCGGGCTTGTTTCAATGAAGATAAGAAAAATCGATCTTTGTGTAGCTTCGTGCAGTGTCCTTTAGTTGTTCCAGATGAACTGAATTTTAAATTTGCAATTTTCCTAAAAATTTCAAAAATACCTAAAATGGAAAAAATTATATTGGGACTCCTTGAAGAATTTTGCAATTAAGAACGAAAAAACGAAAAGCATGCTGCTAACTAGCTTCAAGCCGGAAATTGAAACAGTTATAACACCGCTTTTCAATTTTTCCACGGAACTTGGTTTGCAGTGCAAATTTCACATTTTTGTACAATAATCTCCTGGAAAATTTTTCAATTATTTCGTTTAGCCAGTCACTGAATCTATAAAAGAAGGAGGTGAAAACTCCCTCTCTCTCTATCAAGAGTTTAGAAGAAATTATGAAATTTTCTGTAATTCTTCTTAAGCTAATCAAATAATAGATCATTTTAGATGCACGATTACGAAATATTTGAATGACGAGAAGACTCGCAAAGCTATCAATGAACCCCTATTCACAAGACTGACTACAATTTAGAAGGAATTTCACAAGGTGGAGTTGCTAAAATCTACAATTAAGCACAGAGAACCCGGTATTTTTGGTTTCTGTGTACTGCACTATGCAAAACTGAGATTGTTGGAGCTCTTCTATAAGTTAATCAATAATTTCAGTGTTTTGCGTAAGTTTGAAGAACTGCAAAATGCATGCAGATTTGCTTTACTCAGCTCTGGCTGAGCATAACTTATGAACATACTTTTGAAGTTTCCAGAGAAAAAACTCATTTTTGTGCAAAAATATTTCCATTGCCGTACCACTTGAACCCAAAAGCATGTTCTAGTATTTCCAAGTTATATTCTAAGCATTGATAATGACCATTGATAATTACCAATTAGATGAAGCGCGCGAGTGCAAAAAATATGGTTTTCTACACAAAAAAGTCAAAACTACCCTTTTTCTCACCCTTTTCCTATCATGGTACTCACACTGAAACCTCACCATTTATCTTCAGTGTCCAAATATTTTGTAGACTCTATACCCTATTTTTATTACATAGCGAGAACGACCTGAACTTTATAATGTATCTTAACTTACGACTAATATTGAAAATGGATCTGTTCTCCGATCAGATCTATTCTCCGGTATCCTTAGTAATCAAACAAAAAGCGAATGAAGTCTATTTTCTCTAGTTCAAATAAAGAATAAAGCTACTTTTCTTCAGTTCAAATCTTCGACAAGAAGCAAGCGGCTTGTCTTGAGTTTTCTTTTTTTTTCTCTAGTTAATCGCTGGTGCTGTGAAGGTCACCTCAGTACACTGATTTTCATGGCCGAACAAAAAGCTTACATCAAAAAACTTAGGATGTATATTATATGTATATAATCTATATAAGTACATGGTTAAATATTTCAGGATGGATAACAATCGCTTTAGCATTCGTTTGTCTAATTTTCATTATGAGAGGGAAACAATTTTTTGATCCAGTCGCGGACCAGCTTCAGTTCTCTGGCGTAGCTCCTTCCACTTCTCTTAGTGACCTTGTCTTGTTCGGATCGTATTAGTTTCAAGCCAATTGCGGTCGATTCCTTCCACTCCACATCTTTATCAGTCATCATTCGCACTTTCCTCACCTGTGTTAAAAATTACATATCAATATGCTCGTACTCTCGAAAAGTTTCCGATCACTTTCAAATAAGAATGCGGACCAGGGGCGGACTTAAAAGGGGGGGGGGGGGCGGGGGGCTTGGACGGACGCCTCCACCCCTCAGGGATTCGACCGCCTGCCGACCCAAAAGGTCCCCCTTTGATACTTTTTCAGAAATCCATTTTTTTCAAAAAGTTCCCAAAAACGGCTTTTTAACAGTTTTTTCCAAAAATTTGCCTGCGGCGCACAAAGTTTCACCAAAATAGGGGCAAAACAGTGCTTTGGGAGAGCTCGAAAAATCAATTTGGTCGACCTAAAAAAAAAGGTCGTCAAAATTTTGGAAAATTTTTTGAAAATCCGCCCCCCCCCCCCCCTCGAGAAAATCCTAGATCCGCCCCTGATGCGGACCAATTAGTTTTTAACTCGTTTAACGTACTCGATAGTCTAACAAAAAAGGAAGTGTGGCTTGTTCTACTTCAACTTTTTTCAGCAAGATTAGTCGGTTGCTGTGCAAGAAGCACTGAATGATCCGACCACGCTGATTAAGGATAAGAAATTCAAAAATATAGATAAATTTTTATAAAAGATTAGAAAAAAATGGAAAAATTGAAATTTTGCCTAATATAGCTTTTTTCTGGGAAATACTATTGGATGGACTGTGGCAGGGTCGGGCAGCTAAATCTGGATGTTTTGAAAACCCTTTGGGTGCCAGGGTGTCGAACTCCTGAACGGGGAGCGCCCCCCCCCCCTTAATTCGCTACTAGATGGAATCATAGCTAAAATAACGTTACTATTGTAGTAATATTGAATTAAAACTTAGTACCTCATTGCGTGTTTTTCTTAAGCTCGCCTGTCATTAAGGCTGAGAAACGAAAAAAAAATGAACCCTTTTTTCTACATTAAAGTTGTTTTTGGAAATTTGATGCGAATCAAGACGAATAGGGCTTTTATGTGCTTCTCAATTTGCTTTGGAGTTTTCTTGGGGTATTCAAAAATGAGAGAAAAAAGTACAACTAGAGTCATTCATAACTTCTTCTCTTTGTTTCGATCGCATACTGTTTCAGAGAGCGCAAGAAAAGATATATCATTAATTCAGATCTCTAAGTATGCATCAAACGCTATTACCGCCGAGCAGCGGACCTATTGATTGCAATAACTTTTGCCACCACGGTTAATTATTTTATATTTTTGTTAATATTGGCCTGAGGCATTCTTGACTGCAATTTGGATTTGAACTACACTTTTTATTGACGTTTTGGGGTAATAATAGAACTGACAGAAGAATATGGCAGTGACTTTGGCAAGTTAGACTAAATATCAAGAGAGTTGGGAAAAATATAAACAGATCACAAGACAGAGAAGATAAACTTCATAAAACTCTCGATCGAACAAGAACTGCTAAAAAATTTGCAACTAGCAAAATTTTCTAGCAAAGACTAGAAAAAAATACTGTATTTAAATTTCATTCCGCTTAACTATATTATAATCTCAATTGTGTACTTTTCAAATAAAAAAATACTATTTAATCGGGACTCAAATTTTAATAATCCTGATTGCAGACTCACAACAGTGAAAACAAAATGTATTTCCGCATCAGAAAAATTTCTTACAAAACTTTAAGGCTCAGATAAAAACTAGACTAAAAAGTCTAATGACATCAGGTCAAACTGCAAGATAGGCCTCTAAATTAATAGTAGCAAGAGATAGTTTGCAAAAAAACAATCCAAAAATAATTGAAAAAATCTGATCGAATAAATCCATTTGTTGTTCTTTAATTACACTCAAAAGTTTTCCAATACAATAATTTTATGTTGATACGATCAGATAACAGGATCAAAAAATAACAGAAAAAAGACGACGAGCAAGTCAGCGACTATAGAAGAACAACTGCATGTTCAGGCCGGAGAAGACACAAAACGAAATTGATGGATCATGGCTGAAAGAAGAAAAATGGACAGTTACGATCGAGAATTTGTTCGCACATACAATAAGGTGAGTCAATTTATGGAGTGGAAAAGATGATCTTGCCGAGTAAAAGCATAATTGGAAACTTTTACAAACGCGCAGATAAAGGGGCAGAGAAAAGTGGGAACAAACAACAAACTGAAAAAACCGACAACAGGTAATCCACATAGTTTTACGAAGACTTCATCAAAGAAACTCAAGAGTATAGTGACCATACTGGCAAGGCCGAAGTGCTTACCGAAAATAAATCTCAATTAAGCTCAGGACTGAGTCAACGACATAATTCCATAGAAACGTTGTTGCATGCCAGCAACCAAATCAAGGACCTCGAAAACTAGCAACTGATAGAAAGAATAGCATAATCAGAGATGAAAAACTGTAAAATGAATCAAGGAGTTTCTGAGCAATAGTCGAAAATGAATATCACTAACGCAGAAGAAGCAGCACGGCTAACTGAGAAGCTTTGTGAAATGAGAAGTTTTTCGTATGACAAAAAACAATGGGAACTCGCAAGTGTCAGAAGCAAAAGATACACGTTTCCACATAGAAAAACTATCATATATGACGAAGTAGGTCCGGAAAAGACCTACACAAATCACTGGTTAAAATTATCAAACCAAAGAGATGGGCAGAAGCTAGAGTCAAAAGCAAGGTTTAAACCTGGAGAACCAAGTAAATCACACGAAGAGCGAACTCATGACAGATACACCGAAGAACTAAATACAGAGTTTAGGCAATGGAATTTACCAAAACCTAGGCCACCAAAAGTAAAGTTAGAAACACTTTTTGGTGATCCACTGGAATGGCTAGAATGGTCAGGATTCTTCACAGCAACAGTGCATGCATAACGCGAACATAACAAAAAGCAATATTGCTTGGTTGATTCCGACTTCTCTGATGGGTCAATAAACTACGATCAATAAAGAATACAAAAGAAGATATCCGCATGTATTGATTCTAACCAGCCAGAAAACTCCGCAGTCCGAAATCAAAAAATTAATTGGTTAGGATAACTTCAGTTTGATAAGACCAACAGAATACAAAAATCTGAGCAAGAAAAGTCCATGACAAGAACAAGTCAAGGTGAAAAAACTCGTTGTATGAGATTTCTATATCCATTTATATCCAGATATCGAAAATAAAAGCGACAAAATAGTGATATACAAATATAACAGACATATATTTGGAGCCAGAAGTTCACCAATTTGTGCAAATTATGCTCTGGAAAAATCAATGGATATTGACAACTTACAAGAAATGCTCAATCATTTCTACATGGATGATTTCATATCCTCAAGCAATAATAAAACATAAGCCGAAAACCTCAAAAAACAGTAGCTAGAAGTTTAAGTAAAAGGAGTTTCAAGCTGGCAAAACTTCAAAGTAACATCGCAGAGTTATCTGAAGAAAAGAAAACATCAACTCTGGGAATCAAATGAAACATAAAATTAGAGAGTTCAGCAGTCTTTCGAACGAAGGATAACCCAGTCGAAGGATTCTCAGAAAAAAATTGCTTAGCGTCGTTTCTTCACTATTTGATCCACTAGGACTGTTGCCAACCTTCAACATTCGGATAAGGAAGATATTGAAGAGACAAAACAAATATTGAATAGACAAAACAATTCCGGAAAACATTGCTAAAAAGTCTAAGTGTTGGAGAAAAAACTTACACAAATCAAAAACATTGAAATCATGAGAAACTACTTCAGTTCCATTCCAACAGAGTATGATCTCCACGTGTTCGCTGATCCTTCACTTGAAGGACTATGTGCGGTAGGTTGATTTTGTGCTTCAGAGTAAGATGGCACTTAAAAAGTATCTTTTGCTAATGGAAAAACGAGAATTTGCGCCAAAGAAATAAATAAGCATACCACCTACAGAGCTGCAAGAGTGATAGCCTAAGAATTGAAAACAATATACTGGAAACACATAGAAACACTGTGAATAAAGTCTACATGTGTTCAGGTTCCAGCACAGTATTAGCTTAGTTGTCTTCTGAAAAGAAATTGACGATCTTTGTAGCAAATGAGTTTCAATGAGTCTGAAGGATTCTCGACACCACAGCAAATAATACATGGAGACATCTTATAGGAGAAAGGAATCCGACAAATCTAGGCACAAAATGACTGACAATAGCTCAAACATTTCAAACTACTTGGTTTCATGGGCCGACCTGGATAAAATTTGAAGAGGAATGGCCGAAGAGAGTGAACTTCAAAAATGATGAAGTGAAAAAAGGTTATTGAAAAAACATATAGTCAATTACAATTATTAAACCTTTGATCGATTGAAATAGGTTTAAGAAGTTTAAACGACTTCAAATCTCAATTTCTTATGTATTGAAAACAATACCAAAATAGAAACTCGAGTGTAACAGTTGAAGAGAAGCAGCATGTTACGAAAACTATCTCAGATGTGTTAGACAAGAAAGTTTCAATAAACACATCTGGAAAAATTGAATCCACTCATTGATGCAGAAGGGTTGATGAGAGCAAGAGGCAGATTGATAAAGTCAAAAGACTTCTCATTTACACAAAAGCATTCATTTATTTTGTATTCAAAACACAGTGTAACTGTAATTTTCATGCGGAGTGAACATCTGGAAAATCATTACATTGGAATCAGACAATTTATAAGCATGGTTCAGGAGACTTATCAGTCTTTTGGTGCAAGAAACAAACTCACACAAATCAAGGCTAATTGTGTACCCTGTAGAATATCATCACAGAGGGTTGAGTCTCCACTCATGGCTGACTTACCTGAGTTCAGGATGGATTTCACAAGAACCTTCACAAATACTGGTGTAGAGTACTTTGGACTTTTTAATGTAAAAATGAGGAGATTGTTAGAAAAAAGATGAATATGTCTGATAACTTGTCTTACATGAGAGCCGTGCATCTTGAAGTTGCTCATGATTTGTCAACCGAATCCTTGTGAAACAGCTTGTTTCGATTCCTCGCTCGAAGAGATAAACCAGATCTTATCATGAGCGACAAAAGAACGAATTTTGTTAGAGCGATTAATCACTTACAAGAAGAAATTTAATTATAGTCACCGAAAATTGAAGAATCAATGGCAAAACGACACATTGAATGGAGGTTTAATCCACCAAATGAGTTTAGCTTTGGGGGTGTATGGAAACGACTAGTGAGAAGTTCAAAAAAAGCAATTTATTTTGTCATGGGAAAACAAAAGATAACAGAGGACGTTTTGACCACAACTGTCTGCATAGTTGAAGTTATAGTAAACCAAAGACATCTCACATCAGTTTCGGATGACATTGATAGTTACGTAGCGATTACCTCAAAGCATTTCTTGAATGGATCATCAGAATCGGAAATGTTCCGAATGTACTCGAAAAAGTATGAACGTCATCGGAAGCTGAAAAAAATGCTTTTCAGATCTGGCGCAGGCTTAAAAAAAACTGCATCCCGATGCATTTGGCAAGAAACAAATGGTTCAAAAATCAGAAAACACAATTCCAAGAAGGTGAAGTTGAACGAATTGTAGACCCACAAGTATTCACAAACAATTTCACGTTAAATATCTGAAAAACAGTTACTCGAATGGTTACCATGAAGCGGAAATCACTTTCATTGGATTATCTGGTTTAAGGGTTAACTGTTGGAAAGATAAGGTTAATACCCAATATTTGCAGAAATTCACTCATATTGCAATACAGTGTGGCGCAAGCGATGCCTGCGATCATCCTAGACAGGAGTTTCTGAAACAAAAAAGGCGCGTGAAATCGCAAAAGCGATGACGGAATGGGTTGACAAAATACCCCACTCACGGATTCTCGTTTAAATTGTTCTACCAAGAGAATTGTGGCAAGCAAAAACAATTGTTTTCAAAAATTTCCTCGAGAAAAAGTTTCGAAAATTTTTTAAATTATGCGACGATATTGGTAGAACTACCAATCAAACACGGACCATGTTCACTACAGTTATCACACGCACTATGCGATAATATCCCAACTAATGCAAATAATTAATGTTTGGCATGAACAGTTTGTTTGTCTGGTTTGGCCGCTGGCATTCAGGATAAACATTCTTACTCAGAATATTTTATTAAGATTAGATTATAATGAATGAAATATTTCTTTATAAATATTTGGTTAATTCAAAGTTTTAATATAACCATTTATTTATTTAATCTTATTTTGTTTTTTTTTTGATGCCAAAAAAGGGCCGACTATTACCGACTATTATCACTGTGATGCAATGCTGGAATTGAGAGGTGTTTATTGCGCTGCTCTTTGACAATTAGACTAAATAACAACAGAAATGGGAAAGAAATCGGAACAGATCACAAGACAGAAAAGAGGGACTAAAACTTGATGCAATTCTCGATCGAACTAGAACTGCTACGAAATTTGCAGTTGGCAAAACTTTCTAGCAAAGGCTAGAAAAAAATACTAATTATTTTTTGTTCCGCTGATTTATATTATAATTTCAATTGTGTACGTTTCAAATCAATAAAAAAGTACCATTTAATCGGGACTCAATTTTTATTAACCCTGATTGCAGACTCACAACAGTGAAAATAAATTGTAATACCGCATCAAAAATTTTTTCCTAAAAAATATCACCTCTATGATAAATAATTAGACTACAAAAACATCAGGTCACATTGTGAGGTAGGCCTCTAAAATTATTTAGCCAACACAATTTTAACTGGTTATCGACCAAACGTACGAGCTTCAGCGATTGAAAAATTCGAAAAAAAAATAATTATCTGAGAGACTTAAAATATCACAAAAGTTGTCGCATCAATTAGTATGTTTTTTGACTTGAAACTTTACATTGAAGCTAAAAAACTTTTAAACTTAGTTATGTCTCAATGGTTCCAGACTGAAGCAAAAAAAAAACCAACTTAGTTATGTCTCAATGACTCCCATTGAAACAAAAATTGTTCAAACTTAGTTTTGTCTCAATGACATACAATTGAAACTAAGTTTCCACCGTTCAATTAAGTTGATATATTTGGCGCTACAATCGAAGTATCTAAACATCTCAATTTTCATTCCTTTATCTTCAATCTTATATATTTTTTATAAATTTCTTGAAAATAGTAGCAATCACCTTAACACGGAGTAGCACTGTGCACCCTTGGTCTGAGTCATCAGAGTCAATTTCTTTCACCCAATATTTCGTTTCCAAAATCCGTTTTATGCAGCACACTCGCCAATCTTCAGTTCCATAGGGAAGTTTGTTGGAGGAGCTACTGGACGAGTCTTCAGAACATCTGTTGAGCACCTCTTGGATACCTTCAGGTAGAACTTGCCTCTCTTTGAGAACTAAACTTGCACGCCATTCTAGAGGAGCAGCGCTCAGCTCACTGATGTTCAAAAATCCAAGTTGTTTCATAACCTTAACAGGTTTTTGAGCAGCATTGTTTGGCGCACATTCAGCTGTGCTTTCAATTTTGAGCGCTGATTCTGTTGGTGAAGCTTCATGGGTCATCCTATTATAAGCATCATCTAATATTTGCAAGGCATCGCGTGTTTGGTTACTGGTTTTGTCGCCCGATTTCAGCAATTTTTTCTTCTTGAAGTGAGTCATTTTGACATCCTTTTTGTCGACATTGTCGAGAACATCTCCAAGTGTTTCAGCACTGAGGATAGCTGAAATGAGTTCACTTTTCTTTTTTTCCTTGATTTCTGCTGCTTGATGATTTTCAGCTATTTCGACACTCATAGTCGCCCGTTTTTCGCGTAGACGTGCAAAAGTTACTAACATATCCCGCTTGGGATACAAGTCTGAAACTTCTTCGAACTCCAACATCTCAAACTGCTTCATTAAATGTCCCTCATGGGTGAAATAATCAGGGTTCAAAATAGGAGCAAATTCTGGTATCAGACCATGTTTATTCGAGAGGTAATAATTTTGGGTAACCAGGTTTTTTTTCTCGAGGATTCTGTTTGTTTGTTTGTTTTTAATTTTCCGGAACACTATCTTTCCGGGCCTGGTGTGGAAACTCAGTTTAGTGTTTGCGTATTGCGGGAAGTTACTCAACACGTGGTCAAAAAGTGACTCAACATTTTCCTCTGAGAAATCAAAAAAGAATGTAAAGTGATCGTGAAACCTGGCATCGAATGTGATTGGTTGAAACTCATCGGGAATTTCGGTTTGAACAAACTTCAAAGCAGTGAAAAGTTTTTGTTCCTCTTGTTCTTCGCGTTGTTGTTTTGGAACCAGTACAGATTCAGATGAGTCTCGTTTAAGCCTCCGCAGCTTGATCGAATCGAAACTTGAAGCGGTTGGGTCGAATGCGGTTGCAAAAAATTGCAACTTGGAGTGAGCTAATTTTTGCTCCACTTAACAAAACATGATTAAAACAATTTAAAACAAGGATATACGGTTACTGTGCAAGTAGCAAGGAATGTTCCGACCATAGTCTTAGAAAAAAAATACAACAAAGTTTTTTCAAATTATTGTTGTTTTTTTTGGAGTGGCGTGATAAAAGGAACTGAAGAAAAAGTTGAGGATTAGGTATATTCGACAGCCATACTGAAACAAGCAAATTGAAAAACTGTTTTTCTAGGAAAATTACTAGAAAAAACTGAAAAAAAAATCAACAATTTTTTTTTTTAATTTTTAATAGTTTTGATTCCAAAAAGGCGCTTAAATACTCATACTAAACTAACGTCACCAGTGTAGGACTAAGTTTTCACATTTGATATTAAGCTGTTGTAAGCCTTTAAGCAATACGCATTCGCTCGAAATAAGACGAAAAATCAAAAATTACGAACCAGTTTTTCTCCGACACTTTTATGTGATATATCACTCAACTCTCTCCCATGATTAATGGTGGTAGCTGATTTAATAATGGTAGTGGAAAACAAAAAAACTAAAACAGACCCACCGGAATGCAAAATTCCTCTCCATTTTTCATGGTCGGAACAAAAAACACTATTAAAAATGGTTGAGGATTATAACTCTTGAAAGCATTATAGAAAAAGTTACAATAAAAGGAAGAAAGCCAGTTTTTAATAGCTCGATTCAAAAAATCTCGTACATAACTAAAAATTTCGACACAGGCAAATTGCTGAATTGCAAGGAGACGGGTCTGATCCAGACAATGAACTTAATGGACAATTATGAGAGACAGTTAATCAAACAAAGCAGTTTCAATGTACTCAATTCGAAAACAAGTTATTAGCCGAATATTGAATCACAATTTGTAACAGCAGCTAGTCTTATTTTTGCTTGGTTTAAGAGCAAGCAGTTTCTGAAACATTTATTCCTTTACCGCCAAAATGTTTTTGTTCCGAATTTCGATGCGAAAGTAACGGAATATTTGTGCTCGGGGTGGGTTTTTTTTCTTCAGACAAATTTCGACTTTTGAACTAGCCATTTTTAACGGAATTTTTTTATATCATTCAAAAGGTATTGTTGTCCCGAGCTTAAATTTAAATGATATTTCACCTGTGATCCTTTTTTGTAAAGTTATGAGGGTTTAAAGATTGCCATTTTGGCCAATTTGGGACAATTAACGCGCGATATATTTCGCGCTATTAACGCGTAAGCGGAGAGTTAATCCGTCTTAAACTCGTTCCAAATTGGTTGAAAGAAGCTTATTTGCCATAATTGATTTGTTACAAGGAGCGAAATCTATCCTTTCTACTTTATATGGTGTGTGGGGTGATGATTTTTATTTAAAAAAATTTCAATTTTTAGAAGAAAAAAAATTTCATTTTATTTTAATACATTTAATTTTTTAATGTTATTACTGCTCCATAAAACCTCAAAAGGCAGTCGGAACATTCAGGGCTTCGCCCTGATACGAGCAGTCTTGTTATTTTGATTCTTTAGCTCGTTATTAAGTCCATTATCTGGATCAGACCTGTCTCCTAGTCATTCACCCAATTATTAATGTGTGCGAGAAAAGATTGTTCTAGCGCCGACGACGGACTTGTATTGCCAATCTTTTCCAGCGTTCATAGATAGAATTAAATTATGCTTTTATGTGGTTTTTAACCAGTAACGAGCTAGTTCTTGACTTGAAGGCTAAATGATGCTTATCTTACTCCGAAGAAAACTTGGAATTTTTTTAAGATAAAGGCAAAATAAAAAAACAAACGTTTTTAAAAAGACTTGTTGAAGGATATTTTTGTGTCCTTCTAAGGTGATTTTTTTAAAACCAATGTTTATCAAAAATCTAAAAAAAATAGATTGGAAATGTTATAATCGTCATAACTAATTTTTTAGATTTCCAGAAAAATTATCCCACAGTTCAAATTTTGCATGCAAGTTTTGGTAAGTCGAATAATTTAGAGAAGATCCTTTCGGTTATGCCCCCCCCCCCCTAAATGTTGAAGAATCGAATTCAAATTTCTTTGCAAAATTGGATCGGTATTACTAAGAATTGCTGGCTTTCAATATAGCGCACGCTGAAACGAAGCAAAAAACTCTAGTTAGGCCCCATACAGGCCCTTGTCATTGTTTTTTATATAAATTTCACAAATGAGTCCGCAAGCTTGTTCTGAAAATGCAGTTCGATTTCCATTTTTGCAGTTTTCCGAGTTGACTTAAGGTTCTTGATATCCGTCTTGTGTTTCGTAGTAATATCAATTCAGTTTTCTGTTTTCATCATTTAGGGAGGGGTGGCATAATCAGAAACAGCAGAATTTAGCTAAGTCTGTATCTAAACCTCTATTTGTCTCAGTTTTAGAATCAAAGCATCGAAACTGCGTTTTCCTAGCGCTTAAACAGCTATGTTGAGTCTCTTTTTAACGACTCAAAGAACAATTCAGCTTTTTATTCAGTTCGCGTATAGGTCGGAGATTCCAAAACATTAGGATTTGTTATGTTTTTTATTCAAACAAAGCTCTGCGATCGACGTATTAATTTCTACCAAACATTTTTAAACCCCCTTTGAAGATATCGACTCCCTGACTAAATTATGCTGGATGCGAAAAGTTTGCTTATGGTGCTGACAAGATAACGCGACTTATTTATGCGTGGCAAATTATCCCCTAAATCATTCAAAATTGAATGGAAGCATTCTATCGTTCTACTCAAATTTTCTATTCAAATGTTTGACATTGTCCAAAATTTATGGTTATAAAGAATTAATGGATACCTTTTTCTTTACATTCTCTAAAAGTTTATGTGTTTCAGTTGAATAATTTTTTCTGGTTGTTTGTTTGGATCAGCATGTTTGGCACGTTGGGTATTGCAACCAATCTGTAGTCGGTAGTTTTATAATGACTTTTGAGCTATGGTTGCAAATTCAAATTTTCAGCCCACTTCGGTTAATCAAAAAGTAAAAAAAGATTTGCGACATTCTGAAAAGCTCCTTAGAGTTGCCATTCATCAATTGAACCGTTCTTAGACGGAGTAAGATACCGCTCCCTAATGAAGTGAAAACGCAAGCCGGGCCAAAATAACATCCTCCCCCCAAATCGGTTCAGGGGGGAGGATGTTAACTTGGTTCTGGGTTCGAATTTTTAGCCAATCAGAATAGAGCATTTTATATGCACCGCTAAGTAGAAGTAAATTAAGAAGAACGCTGGGGTGGAGGATCTTAACTTGGTCTATTGGGGAGGGGGAGGAAGAAGTTAACTTGATCCCGCAAGCCAAATTGAGTCAAAACAAAAAATTGAAAGAAAGATTACCTTCTACAAAACCAAAATGGATAAAGTATAGTCGGCTACAGTGCGAGTAGCTTAGAATGTTTTGACCAAAGTCTTTAGAAAACTACTAATTATATTTTTTTCCCAAATTATCTTCAGACCAAAGTCTTTAGAAAACTACGGTTCAGAAAGTTTTTTGTACTAATTTTCCTGACTAGATTATGCTAGTTGTGAAAAATTTGCCTGAGCTGCTGAAAAGATAACACGACTTATTTATGCGTTGCGAATTATCCCCCAAATTTTTCAAAATTGAATGGAAGCATTCTATCGTTCTTCTCAAAATTTCTACTCAGTTGTTTGATATTGTCCAAAATTTGTGGTTGTAAGAAGATATTGGACACCTTTTCCAATATTTTCTCTAAAAGTTTTTGCGTTTCTGTTCTCTTGTTAAAGTATTTTGTCTAGTTGTTTGTTTTGATCACCATGTTTGGCGCATTGGATATTGGAACTAAAATGCAGTCGGTGGTTTTAAAATGACTTTTGAGCTAGGGCTGCAAATTCGAACTTTCAGCCCATTTCTGTTAATCAAAGTGATTTGCGAAATTCTGAAAAATTCCTTTGATTTTTCAATTATTCAATTGAGCCGTACTTAGACGAAGTAAAAAACCGCTCCCTAATAGGGTGAAAACGCAATCCGGACAGAGTTAACATACTCCCCCCCCCCCCCCAAATCCGTTCAGGTGGGGTGAGGTTAACTTGGTTCTGGGTTCGAATTTTCAGCCAATCAGAATGGAGCCTTTTACATGCAGCGCTGAGTAGATTTAAATTTAAACAAACGCTGGGCTGGGGTATCTTAACTTTTTTTGTTTGGGGGGAAGTTAACTTGATCCCGCCAGCCAAAGTGAGTTAAAAGATACAAAAAAGGATCAAAACTCAGCCGAGCTTTGAGTTCCTTGCGATACAAAAATGTAAAAAGAAAAAACTATCCTTAAAACCAAAATGGATCAATAATCGCCGATTACTGTGCAAGCAGCACAGAATGTTCCGACAAAAGTCTTTAGAAAACTACTGTTTAGTGGTTATTTTCCAAATTAGTATAGTTTTTTTTCTGCTTGGCGAGATAAAAGGATCTACCGTAAAAATACAATTTAGGCAGTCATAGTGATACAAGCAAATCGCAGAAAAACATTTGTACAAAAATGACTAGAAAAACTTTTAAAATTTTTTGGTATTTCCAGACTTTGCGGACCGAGGCAATGTGTCCGCGAATTGCGCGACTGAAGGAAAGTTAATCGCGACCAGCGCGAACAAAGGAACACTTACCACGACCGGCGCGACCGAAAGAAATTTAGTCGCAGCAGTGGAAAAGTGAGTCGCGGTGGTCGAAAAATTAGTCGCGGCGGTCAAAAAACTAGTCGCTGCATGGTCGAAAATTAGTCGCGGTGGTCAAAAAATTAGTCGCGGTGGTCGAAAAATTAGTCGCGGCGGTCGAAAAATTAGTCGCGGCGTTCGAAAAACTAGTCGCTGCATGGTCTAATAATGATTCGTGGTGGTCAAAAAATTAGTCGCGGCGGTCGAAAAATTAATCGCGGTGGTCAAAAAATTAGTCGCGTCGGTCGAAAAATTAGTCGCTGCATGGTCTAATAATTAGTTGCGACGGTTAACAAATTAGTCGCGGCATTGTCAGAAAATTAGTCGCGAGGTTCGAAAAATTAGTCGCGGTGGTCAAAAAATTAGTAGCGGCGGTCAAAAACTTCACCGAGACTATTTTTTAGACCAAGCCGCGGCTAACTTTTTGACCATCCTTACCGAGATATTGTATATCCAGAGTTTGTCCACCACTTAAAACCCTGTCCGGACTATGGGTTTTTGGTCGCGCATTTTGCATTTCCGCGACACACAAAGTCGAAAAATGTCAACTACACCGCAAAAAATACCTTCGTGGAGAGAAAAATAGAAGAATATTTGCTGGCTGCTGAAAAAAAAACATAATGCTGCGAACACAGTGCATTAATCAAAACAGGAAAAAAAATCATCTTTCAGTTTTTTCAAAATTCAAAAAACTGAATTTAAAATTTGGCCGAAGAAGGTCCACGATATCATCAATAAGTTATGAAAACTTTTGGCCATCGATTTATATTTCAATTAATGACATTGGATATGAATTTAACAAAACTGCTCGTATCAGGGTGAAACTTTGAATGTTCCGACTGCATTTTAAGGTCTATGAAGCAGTGATAACACGAAAAAATTAGATGTAAAAATAGGAAAAAGTTAAAATTATTATTTTTAATGTGAGTTTTTTGTCAAAATCATCACCCAAACGCAGTATAAAATACAAAGTGATAAATTTCGCTCCTAGTAATAAATCAAATAAGCAAATACGCTTCCATCAACCAATTTGGAACGATTTATAGAACGTGTATTATATCTCCGCTTACGCGTTAATAGCGCGAAATATATCGCGCGTTAATTGTCCCAAATTGGCCAAGATGCCGATCGTTAAACCCCCATATTTTTACGAAAAATGATCACAGGTAAAATATCATTTCAAATTTAAGCTCGGGACAACAATACCTTTTTAATGATATAAAAAGAGTCCGTCAAAAATGGCTAGCTAAAAAGACGAAATATGTCCGAAGAAAAAAACCCACTCCGATCACAAATATTCCGTTACTTTGGTTACCAAAGACGGAAGAATAATAACCCAAGCATGTATATTGGACTCAAAAAACGGTTATTTCCTAATGAAAAAGAATAGACAATTTAATTCAATTTCAAGTTGTCATAATTTGAGATCATCAAAACGCCTTCGCCGACCAAAATTGCATTCAAAAGCGTAGTGGAAATTAAAATTTCGAAATTTGGAAATCATTGCACTCTCAAATCGAAAAACAATGGATCTAAAGACACCGATGCAAGCTACTTTTATTTTGCACCACTAAGAAAGTATGAAAGCTTACTTGATTTAGTAGGTCGACTTGCAGATGTATAAAGAAGCGAAAATAAAAAGTTGAACCAAGTTTAACTATTTAAATACAAGCTGCAAAGCAGTTTCTAATTTTACTTGATTGTCTTTAAGCGCGTCTATGAAGTAAAAAAGAGGTGTTTTAGATTTTGTATATCTGAGAAATCTTGGCATCAAATTTCAATAAATTATAAAACAAAACACTTTAACATACAAAAGCAAGATACATGTTTTAATATTTTTGATAGTTTAACTATTTAAATACAAGCTGCAAAGCAGTTTCTAATTTTACTTGATTGTCTTTAAGCGCGTCTATGAAGTAAAAAAGAGGTGTTTTAGATTTTGTATATCTGAGAAATCTTGGCATCAAAAATCAATAAATTATAAAACAAAACACTTTAACATACAAAAGCAAGATACATGTTTTAATATTTTTGATCTGCGGATTTGAGATGTTCTGACGATACCTAAACTGAAAATATTATTTTTCAGATTTGCCAATATCAAAAAAGGACAAACAATGTTATTACTCTGTGCTGAACAATTGTACATTTATAACCAATTCTTTTCGAAACAGCTGTGCTATCGTGGCAAAATTACTATGTTATTGACTGCAAACCAGTTGCAGCTGGTGGTGTTGGTTGAAAAGGTCGAAAAAAGCTCGCACCGAAGTTTCATGGATAAAATCGGTTATAATGGAACTTTGCTGACTAAAATTTTGTCTATATAATCAAGGATCATGGCAAGTTAGTCAACGTGAGAGATTTTTAATCAATTTTATGTGATATATTTCGAAAAACAAAATCTCATAAAATCCATTATAATCGATTATATTTCATCTTTGTTTTCATTATAATCGATTATTTTTTGTACAAAAAATCCATGAAACTTGATTAATTGTTGTAAATAAATCTCTACTTTTTGCAACTTTCTGCAAAACTCGAACAAACACGTTCATCCAGGGGCAGCCATTACGTAATAAGTTTGAAGAGGCCAATATGTAGTAATTTTCCAAAAAGTGCCCAAAAACGTCATTTTTGACCGGTTTTTTTTCCCGCAGCAAGATATTCCTGCAGCTGAAAAAAATTGACTAAACTTTCAAACAGTTTTGTGTCTCTATGTTCCTGGATTCCAGAGACAAGTCTTAAAATATGTTCCAAAATGTAAGTGGATTCCAATTACAAAACTTCTGTGAATTCCGCGTACAAATACCTGTAACGTAAGTTTGGTCGGCACATTTGTTGTGTCATGGATTCCGCAACAAGCTATACACACGTCCTATTGTTTGTTTTTGGATTCCACTGTTCTGGATTCCGCAAATACGGTTGAGGATTCCGCAAATTCGCCTATTTTTGGAGCGGTTTTGAGCGGTACAGTGTTGTAGGTATTTGTTTGTGGAATCCAAAACAGCAAAGAAGATAAAAAAGTAGCAATGTTGCGGATACCGGGACAAGTACGATTTTAGCCAGTAGCGGATTCCGCTTACAATGCACAAAATGCACAGTTTGACCTCGTAATGATACAGTACACCAAAATATTTTATAAAATGAATTATAAGCCATTATAATCGATTAAAATTGACAATTTGTTTCCAATAATATTTTTTTGAAATTAAGTTGAAAATAATCGATAATAAGAGATTATATTGGGATTTTATTGCTTAAAAAATAGTCTCATTATAATCCATTTTCAATCAATTATAATCGATTATTTTTTGTTATTTTATAGAGACAACGAAAATCCAAAATAATTGATTATTATCCATGAAACTTCAGTGCGGGAGAAGACGAGATAAAGATAAAGACCAGGTACCAGTTTACTTTTTTGGTCCCGGGACAAAACTAGTTTAGATGATTGGTCCCGCCTATTTTCTATAAAACGCGATCGCACTTTTTAATCTACGCCTTGGGCTTGGTATCCGGATTCGTACCCGCTAGACTAACTAAGCCGCTTCGACAGCAAAATAGAGAATTACAAATGCTCACTGTTAGAGTTAGCCACATACTGTACCTCGGTTTTTATCAGGGACCACAGCCTTTTTGAGGGACCAAAAAAGTAAGACTAGTGCCCAGAAAATTACTAGGCGTGCCATTACGTAAAACCAACTATTCAACTTCCATTGCGCATGATGAGTTTGTAGCTAATTTTGGAAAAAATATAAAACGCCCAGTGGTTGCTGTGTTATAATAGAAGATAAAGCACAACCTTTTTCCTAATTTCGCAGGCTAACATATTACGGACCACAATTATCTCGGCAACAGCTCGTGAAGGGCGGTTGCAAGTAACCTAAGCGATCAATGGGAATAACAGCTATCATCGGTTTTCCTGACATGTCGTTTCCAGAACTACTTCGGAAGAACTGAGTTTAAGACCAAGCACAACTTGATAACAATGACATAAAAAAACACAAATTATCAATATTTGGTGATGTTTGTTTTGTAGAGCGAACAACAAAAAATGCTAAAAAGGGTCATTCGAAATTGCCGGAACCGTTTTTTAAAAAAGAACTTGACTAAACCGGTGGAACGAATAAAGCTTTTTTTTCGCCTTCATATAGCGCGAAATGACCCATCATCACTGAAATTTCTTCACGCAAAATCATTCCGTCAATTTTTGTGAAAGCGAAAATAACAAAACTGTGTGTATCATGGTAAAGTTTTTATCGTTCAGACTGACTGCCCTTTAAGCTAACTGCAAACATTTGTTTAGAATTCACAGTTTTTTTAGCCATATTTTTACTTTTGTTTGTTTACCGCCACACGCAATGTTAACTATGAAGCCTCAATGATGCCTCAAGGGAAAACTCAAAAATCAATTTTTAGTGGATTTTGAAAACAAAAACTATAGGAAAAAATTGCAATTTAATTTATCCGGCAAACAAACTCAGCTTTAATTTCAAAGCAAGTTTTTTTCAAATAAAGAAAAATTTTGCATTGATTTTTAGCAGAATTATTATGGTGCATTTTTTTGCCAAACCATATTCTCTATAGCCTCTAATGTAAGCCAACACAAAAAAAGTAAATTTTCTGAAAACATTGAGCAAAGTGTTTTAAAATTGTTTTCAAATAAAAAATTGAAAACAATTTTACAATTATCTAGTAAAATTGTAATATTGACACATTTTGAATATTACAAAAAAGTTTCTAGGCAAAACTTATTAAGAAAACTTATACTCAATTGAAAATTTGCCGGGCTCTATAAAAGCTCACTTTAGTATAGCTTTGACAGCCAATGATCCGGTATAATATATACCTCATTCTAGTTTGTATTATAACTAATTTTTCCAAACTGATTTAAGAATACTTTTGAGGCTTTTTTGAGCTAATACCGTCTCGCAGTTATTGGCATAATAGAGTGCCGGATGAAACAAAAAGCAATAGAAATTTTATACGCGTTTTTCTCAAATTGAGTTCATATTTAGTGAAGAAATTAAAGGTCCATGGGTCCAGAATAACCATGAGGTAATCAAAAAAGCCCTCAAACATCGCACACAACAACAGAAAGTTCTATAATAATGAAATTCTTCCAAGTATTTGAGTTTTTTATAAAAGAAAATTTTTTTTTAAATATCAGGCTAAACTATTTTCTCTTGTACAGAAATTGGTAGTTTTTTACCCGCACCGAGCGCCCATGGATTCTAACCAATTATAATGGGTTCCCGAGACAAAATGATCCATAATAATTAACTATAGATGTGAAATTGAGGCCTCGAAATTGATTATACTACCATTTTAATCTTTTATTTTTGAAAAACAATCCATTATAATTCGTTATAATTGATTATAATCCATTTCATTTTTAGAACTAAATTTGATATTTTTTGCGAAGTTTTGCAAGTTTTGCAAGAAAGTTTCAAAATGTATGCCATGTCTTTTACTAAATGCCATGTCTCAACGTCATCTCTCAACGTCTCAACGTCATGTCTCGCCCCTCAAGCTTTTTACCTCCCCCCAAGTAAAAGGGTGGGGTAAACTGGGGGGGAGGGGGTTTGTAAGCTGGGGGTAAACATTGGGGGGTGTAAGCTGGGGGTGAACATTGGGGGTGATAACGGGTGGGGGATGTGAAAACGGGGGGGGGGGGGTTGTAAACGGGGAAACGGGGGGGGGGGGGTGTAAACGGGGGAGGGGGTAAATTGAGGGGAGGTAAACTGGGGGCGGTTGTGGTGAAAACTGTGAAATGAGGTGTTAAACTGCAATGAATTAAAAAAGAGACAAAAAAAATTATTGTGAAATGTAAAATTTCATGAAATGCAATGCGTAGCAACTGCCTTAAATGGAAGTGAGATAACTTTGAATAAAATTGTAAACTTCATGAATAACCTCTCGAAAAAATCCATTATTATCGATTATAATCTATTATAATGGACTTTTTATTGGCATAAAAAATATTAGGATTAAAAACCATTTTTAATGGATTATCATCGATTACTTTGTCACTTTTTAGATATTGACCATATTATGACAAAATTATCGCATATGATCCACGGGCGCTCAGTGCGGGTACCCTTCTAGAACTTTGATGATATGTTTTATATACACAGTGCTATGAAAACACAGTTATGAAAAAGATATATTTTATATTTAACTTTTTCATCAAAAAATTCGATAGCTCAGCGTAATTCTTGATCAACTAAAAAAGCCGAAATGACTAATTTTGGAGTAAACTTTGGTTGCCAATTTTGCTCAATGAATTGCCCAAGATAATTTAGTTAAATTGAAGCATTTTTTGTTCTCTTCATTTTTTGTCTAATCTTTGTCAGAAAAAAGTGTTTAAACTTCAGGTTCTGTAGTACAAATTTAAAAACTCTGAAATTTGAAACTTGTTTTTCTCAAATTGTTTTGACATAAGATTAGACAGAAAAATGAAATCAGAAAAAAATTTTTTTTTGAAGTTTGGCCGAATCAGTATGATGCAGTTTATTTTGCTTGGAACAGGAATACACAAAAATGAATTTTTTGGGCTTCTTTTAGTCAGCCAAGAATTACGCTAAAAATACTAGGCGATGTTATAAGATTGAAAAAATCTGCTACACAGTCCAACAAAAACATAGAAGGGTTTTCTATTCAAGAAATCTGTTTACTTGCATGAAATTTTGGTTGCTATCCAAAAAAAAACTGTTTTTACTCTGAAATATTCCAATTCCTT